AAGCAGAAATCAAAACTCATCAGCTCCACACTTCACCCAATAACCTGCAGGAACATCAGATTTGACTCGACTGATCTTTAGTAACTCTCCTCAATCCAGCACATTCACAGCATCAGCTTCATTCATATTCATTAAATCACTAATTAAATCATTAAATCAATCATTAAATCATAGCTACAGATTCTAGTATTTGACACTTACACTCTATGTGAACTTTCTAGGAAATAGTTTGGATGATAAAACATCTGCTAAGAACATAAATGTCCATCTAACAGCTCAATGGAGTCTCATTGTAGAGTTGAGTAGATTTGCTCAGGAAAAGCTGCTCAAAGGCTACGATTAGATTGACCATTATTTATAACTTTAGAGCAGTTAGAGACACTGAAACTTTGCTTGCTAATATACAGACTTATTTCATGTTTGGAGTCTTCATGATCAAATTCATCAATGTGTTACAGGCAAATAAAAATCAGTTTTATCAGGTTTGAGGATCATCTGATCCAATTTTGATGAACGTTACTCAGAATCTGTACTATCGAGATCACTGATTTCACCATGATGTAATAATTCAGAAGGAAAAATTAGGTAAAAGCTGAAATGTTAGTTTGAACAGTTGGTGGCGCTAGTGGTGTTTGAGAGCTAAATATATCTTCCAGAAGAAAGAGCTCAGAGAAATGATTCCTAAGAGATTTCCAGAGCTGAAAGCCATTTGTAAGCGGTGTCTCTTTCAGAAGAAGATGATCAGATAAGAGTCTGACTGATGATTATATAATAAGACTAGGGCTGCCCCCTAATAGTCGACTAACCTTTAGTCGACGAGAAGAGGCTTGGTCGACCACAATTTATTAGTCGCTTAGTCGCAGAAAAAAAAAATCCACAGGAAATGGTGAGGTCACGCAGTCAGAGACGGACAGATTGTTACATCCAAATGCTCGCCTATCATTCATCGACCTCAAATATGGCTTATCATCTGAACTATGTAAGTAGTAGAAATTTTACATGGCCGCTCAATCTAATTTTAATCTAGAAAAATGTGCGCTATTCAAGTGTCTAAACAGTAGTGTGCTCACAGCATGACAGATGGAGGCGCCGGTGCGCTCACTTGCTCTTAAAATAATCTGCCATTTTTATCATACAGCAAAGAGTAATACATCTTTCGAATCTGTAAAGCCTCTACGTTTATTTGTGTGCACTCACTATAACAACAAAATAATGCAATAATTATGTAATGTAATAATGTAAAATAATGAAAGCAAATAGGATGCGCATTCTGCCGTCTCGGCCTCTGTGAACTTGAGCACGAAACTCCATGTATATCTGCCTTACAAACATGAAAAATATATCTATATTTAATCTAAATTTAATATATCTGTATTATATCTATAAAAAATATAGAGAGTGAAATGTCTACTTTCAAATGAAACAATTCAAACCTGAAAAAAACTAATGTGACCCTGGACCACAAAACCTTTCATAAGGGTCAATTTTTTAAAATTGAGATTTATACATCATCTCAAAGCTGAATAAATAATATTTCCATTGATGTATGGTTTGTTAGGATAGGACAATATTTGGCTGAGATACAACTATTTGAAAATCTGGAGTCTGTGAATGCAAAAAATCATCATCTAAAAATCTAAATATTGAGAAAATCATCTTTAAAGTTGTTCAAATGAAGTTCTTAGCAATGCATATTACTAATCAAACATTAAGTTTTGATATATTTACAGTAGGAAATTTACAAAATATCTTCATGGAACATGATCTTTACTTAATATCCTAATGATTTTTGGCATTAAAAAAATCGATAATTTTGACCCATACAATGTATTGTTGGCTATTGCTACAAATATCCCCCAGCGACTCAACACTGCTTTTGTGCTCCAGGGTCACAAATATTCTCAGATTATGTAATCCGTATAAAACTTGCATGCAGTACCCCAGCGACTTAACACTGCTTTTGTGCTGCAGGGTCACAAATATTCTCAGATTATGTAATCCGTATAAAACTTGCATGCAGTCGCATCTACTACTGTGGAGATGACGAGTCAGTGTTGCCAAATTCATCTCTTAAGCCGAAAACACAGAAAACACTAGTTTATCAATAGTTTATTAAAATGTTAATGCAGTTTAATCTTACGGTTTTTCCCTGACACATTCATCATCATTACTTCTGCCGGTGTGCTGTGGCAAGCTTTATGCGTGCGCTTGAGTGCTTATTAGGCTATGTAGGCAACTAGCAACAAGTGTTCCCCGAGTGACCACGCCGCATGGCGAGTTGACTTCATTCACAGAACTAGGTTACCTACGTAACCCCTCGTTCTATTTCATTTCAGTCAACACGCCGTAGTATGGGTCAACTGTGTACCAGATAAGGTCAGGAGGGGAGATAAACCCAAGCGGGGCAATAAAACACAAGGAAAACAATTCATGCGAACAGAACATTTTATTTGTTTTCCCTGGTATTTACACAACTAAATCAGTGGCTTATTAGCACCTTGATATTGTTTACATAAGACACTTCCCGTCTAGTGGCCAGACGTGTAGCCTGTACTTCCCAGGATTTGGGTGCCAGATCTGGCCCTGGGCCTGAGACAGCATGTCCTCTCTGACTCAGAGACATCATGGTGACCCCCTAAGCAAGGCGATTAAATCTGGCATCCATGACTGTTGGGGCTGGTGCAACCAGCAGGACTTTGGCCTTCAAAATCCTCACTTTGGCTAGGACTGCAGGCAGAAGTGGGAAAGGAGGAAATGCATACAGGAGTATTGGGGACCATTTGTTTGCCAGAGTATCCACCCCTAGAGGCCCTCTGGGGCCCACCATTGAATACCACAGGGGACAGTGTGTGGTTTCCTGTGTGGCAAAATAGTCTACTTTGACTTTCCCGAAATGAAGCCAAATGGCCTGTACCACTGCTGGGTGAAGTCGCCATTCTCCTGGTCTGGGACCCCCTCAGTGGACTCACTTTGTGTTTTGCTAACCATCGCTGTGGTGGGCGCATGTGAAGCAACTCCAATGGTACCACCTGACTGGTTGCTGCCATTAGGCCAAGCAATCTCCAGCCCGACCTCATCATAACTTGCTCCTGGACAGGCATTCATTCAACACTGACTGCCTCTGTGGAGTCAGAGATGCTCTCATTGCAGTTGAATCCAAACTCAAGCGTAAGTATGTCAATACCCTCGTGGTAGTGAGACAACTCTTTTTGCTGTACAGAGTCAGCCCCAATTTCTACAGGTAGGCTATGGGGAGCCAATGACAATACGAAGGAGAGAACATTGTATTCGTAAGCGTTGCCCTGAAAGTAGAACCTGAGGTACTTTCTGTGGTCCTTGTGAATTGGGATGTGGAAATAAGCATCTTGGAGATCCACTGTTGTAAACCAATCCCCTTGTCTGATGAAGGTTAAAACGGTTGAAAAGCAAAGCATATGGAAGGGCAGACGCATTAAATGATGATTGAACTTCCCGAGATTTAGGATGGGCCGAAGACCCATATCTTTCTTTGGAATCAGGAAATAGGTTGAATAAAACCCCTGCCTTATTGATCCCAAAGGCAGGCGTGATATTGCTCCTTTTCCTAAAAGAACTGAGACCTTGTCTGTCAGAAACCTGCACTGTGTCTCTTCTCTCAATACAGTAAGAACAACCCTTTAAAATTGGGGTGGCTTGGATTTGAATTGGAGCCTGTATCCAAACTCCAATGTGCTCAGCACCCATGGACATTAAGTGCATAGGCGCCAGTGAAAGAGGTTTTGACTTTGAAAAACGTGGGGCCAGAGGTTGATAACTGTCAGTGACGGTTTCTTCCGCCTGCTGTTCGTGTGCTGGAAGACTGCCTGTTGTGTCCTATGAAAGGACTGCCGGACTCCTTGGCCTGGTCTTATAAGTGCCCCTTGGGCCAAAGTCCGGTGCTGACCTATGAAGGCCTGGCTAGATGATTCTGGCCGAGCCCAATTACTGATCCCAGCTGATGTTCGTAGCCCATGAGTAGCTGGTGGTAATACAAGTACAAACACAGGGCAGTGCAAAACATGGCACCCCCAAGTCTTGAGGTTCTGTAGGCCATTGCTGAGCCTGTAACAAACTGTTCAGGGTCTCTTGCATACCTTGCATTTGCTTCTGAAGCTGACCAATGTCCCCTTCTACATGTTTACATTTACGAGCCTGTTTACGCCTGATCCCTTCCTCCAGAGGATCCTGTTCAGACCGAAGTGGCTCTTTGCCTGCAGGCATCTCACAACCAATAGTGTCCTCCTCTTGCATCATCCCATGCAGTGATTCACAAACTATTCACCTCTACAAGGTAGCTTTCACATTTATAAGTGATAAGGCCCCTATAAATATTTATGCAAATTCCATGAACCATAAATTCCATGAATTTCATGCCAACATGGTAGCTTCCATCCTCACGGGCGAAGAGACTCCTGTTAGCCAGAGACAACGAAAGAACTCAAAGCAAAATCTTACTGCCAAACAGCTCTTCCGATAGCTAGGAGGCAAAAAGTGAGAGCGTCGGCTACTTCGCACCTGTATTTGTAGACAGTGATTGCAAGCTGGGTGTGGTTAATTTGATATACCGTCTCCTAACAGTTCACCCTTAGCGAGGCTGAGCCATACTGTGGCGTGTTGACTGAAATTAAATAGAACAAATGTTCTAAAGTGCCTACATGTTAAAATTAGTACAATATCTTTATAGAAAAATCCTAATACTGAACATTTTATTGCATTATTATGACTCAAATATTTGTGTTTTTGTCTGCTCTAGCTCCCTACCAATACTATAAATCAATCTGAACATCTGTCTGCTACATTTTAACTTTACAATACATAATAATGATGTCCTTTAGCATACAGTGTTCTGACTGACAATAATAATGGGGTGCAACTTATAGGCTATCATTTGATAGCAGTTTACTACTTACCTAAGCTAACAAAGACTTCAGTAACCTATTTAGATTAAACTGACCTGTACTTGAAGCACTTAACAGATTTTGCTACATTTCGCTGCTTCTTCTGACCGCTTCCTCTCCTTCCTTGAGTCCAGCCATTGATTTCTGTTTGAAACCATTTGACAGAAGCGCAGAACAGACGTGAGCCGAAACTTATTTTTCCGTATGGCATAAAAGCACTGGCAGTCAAGACCGATACATGATTTATTATAAATTATTTATTGAATGTCAAATTCGGAAATTATAACTTTGATACACTGGTCAAGCAATAATATAAAATAATAATAATAATAATAATTACAAAAAAAACAAAAAAAATACAGTTCAGCCGACAGGCCACCTGCTTCACACTGACAAGTGTTTCTGCTGCGTAATTAAGATGAACAAAGTGAAGCTATGAATGACTGAAATAATCTGGATTCAGTCAGATTTACTGAATAGAAAATCATCTGTCACTGCATTTAACTTGCATTTTGACTGATGGAAGTGTTTATTTTTCACTCCACTATTTTATGTTGCTTAATCAAGCTCTGTTTTATGAAATATTGTGTTGATAAAGGTTTATGGTGCATTTTCAGTAAACAGTGAAGCTACCGTTCATTTCTGCTGGCGTGTACAGTGTGAATGCTGTAAACTGTTAATATGGGTGCTGATATAAACACATATGAAACAAGTGCCAGCAATGTTTCATCAGTGTCTAGTTTTAAATACCTGTTTCTCTGTCCTCTGTGCTGCAGCTGATACAGTTTTGTGATTTTTATGTTCATCCATACATAGCACACATATACATTTCTGGTCAGTGTGACAGAAAACCTCAAGGAGCTTCTCATGTTTCTGGCAGGTCATCTCCTGCAGTCGTCCAGTGGCTTCAGTCACTTTGTGTGGCTTACGTGAATGAAACTCCTCACGACGCTCAAAATGAGATTGACAGTAAGATTCCAGACACACCAGACAGGACTTGACGGCTTTGTATTTTCTTCCAGTACAGACGTCACACTGCACATCTCCAGCTCCAGCGTCACAGTCAGCAGAGAGTTTGGTCTTCTTCAGTTTCTCCACCACTTCAGCCAGCATGGTGTTTCTAGCTAAAGCAGGTCTTGGACTAAAGGTCTGTCTGCACTGAGGGCAGCTGTAGACTCTCTTCTGATCCTCCTGATCCCAGCAGTCTGTAATACAGCTCTTACAGTAACTGTGTCCACAGGAAGTTGTCACTGGATCCTTCAGGAGATCCAGACACACGGCACACAAGAACTCATCCTGAGAAAATCTGGCTTCTGCCATTTTACTGCATGAATACAGAGACACAAACACACAACAGCTCAACTACACTTTCAGTTTCTCTTTTACTGAAATCACATGATTCCTGTTTCCTGCTTCTGTGTTTGTGTGATGTGTGTAAAACAGGTGTGTCTGTGAGTCTGTAAAGTAGCTTTTTCATTCCTGCTACTGCATAGTCTCACAGACACACACACAAACACTCACACATTCTTGGATATGTGGTTTATGGGGACTCTCCATAGGTGTAATGGTTTTTATACTCTACAAACTGTATTTTCTATCCCCTTACCCTAACACTAACCCTACACCTACACCTCACACATTCACATTAACACACACACACACACACACACACACAGACTAACATTGTAACGCAGAGCATGGCGAGTCTTTACAGTGTCTGTGCTTTTCATGTCAGTGTTGTGTAGGGGTGGGACAAAATATCATGGCAATATATCATTGTCCTTCTGTGTGCGATACGATAATCAATACGCTGACACCAAATATCGTTATTTTAATTAATAAAATACAGTGCTCTACATAGATTTCCCTGCTCCTGTCATCGCTACTTCATGGCTCCTCGAGGTGGTGCGCAACACATGAATGAGGGAAACGTGAACATAAGTTAACTAGCTTAAGAAATAAAGGTTTTTAACGGGCTGGCGGCCAGCAGTTTGAGTAAAATAACAGATGCCTCAGCCACGTTTAAGTCCAAAGTCTTAAGTCCCACTTCAGATTTTATACCATGGGACAAACAAAAAAAGTACGACAAAGAGTACGCAATATGCAAGAACTGTATTATGTGCATGTGCTTTGAAGCCTTTCCGGTTAAACATTTAATTTGTGTTCTGCTCTGATATGCGCTTTTTCTGAGCGCGTACACCTGAAGCACATGCACACTAAAAAGCCTGACAAACAGCGCTGTCATGTGTATGTTCCCATTTAGTTCCTGTTGTCCTTATTTGGTCCTTCCAGTTCCTTTTCCCATTATTAGTATCAACTGTTCCTTGTTATTAGTTATCCCCATCACCTGTCTGCCCCTCGTTATCTGCCCTATTTAGTTCTAGCCCGTTCTGTTCTCCCTGGTCTGGAATTGTTTGTCAACTCCTTGTACTATGTGTGATTCCCTGAAAAAAAAGAATGAAATTCCTTTGTTTTGTACTCCTGGTCTCCTCATTCCTCGCTCCGTGCTCCTCACAGTAGCAACCCGTGACAGAATTCCAGACCACACAAAAAGTGAGGGGTGACTTTTCCTCTCGTTTGTTTTTTCCACCTTTTTGAAAAGTTTTGTTTTCCTTGTTTTCCCCACGGCTATGGAAATGCCGCTCGGTTCTCCGCCTTAGCTCACCTACTCTAGTTCACCGGCCGTTAATATGGCAAGCCCAACGAACATTAACATGGCAAGCTCGCCATGCGTTCATGAGGCCCCAGTGTCGGTTCCAGCCCCAGTGCCTGCTCCTCGTAAGCGCCTTCCAGAGCTCGCTTCAGTGTCGGGGTGACTTTTCCTCTCGTTTGTTTTTTCCACCTTTTTGAAAAGTTTTGTTTTCCTTGTTTTCCCCACGGCTATGGAAATGCCGCTCGGTTCTCCGCCTTAGCTCACCTACTCTAGTTCACCGGCCGTTAATATGGCAAGCCCAACGAACATTAACATGGCAAGCTCTCCATGCGTTCATGAGGCCCCAGTGTCGGTTCCAGCCCCAGTGCCTGCTCCTCGTAAGCGCCTTCCAGAGCTCGCTTCAGTGTCGGCTCCAGCCCCAGATCTCACTCCAGTGTCTGCTCCAGTTCCAAAACTCACTCCAGTGCCAGCTCCTCGAAAGCACTTTGCTGTGCCTGCTCCTCCAGAGCACCCTCCTGTGCCAGCACCACGTAAGCGCTACCCTGATCCCCAGTTCAGCCCAGGAAGGGCTCCTGTTCATGAGTATAGCCCATGGAGGGCTCCTGATCCCCAGTTCAGCCCAGGAAGGGCTCCTGATCCCCAGTCAAGCCCAGGGAGGGCTCCTGTTCCCCAGTCAAGCCCAGGGAGGGCTCCTGTTCCCCAGTCAAGCCCCGGGAGGGCTCCTGTTCCCCAGTCAAGCCCCGGGAGGGCTCCTGATCCCCAGTCAAGCCCAGTGTCGGCTCCAGCCCCAGAGCTCGCTCCAGTGTCGGCTCCAGCCCCAGAGCTCGCTCAAGTGCCCGCTCCACGTAAGCGCTTTCTAGAGCGCCATCTAGTGCCCACTCCTCCAGAGCGCCCCCCAGGATTCCTAGATTTCCCCAAGAAAATTTTGGGGGGGGGGCCATATACCCGTGGCCAAGCCAGCTAAGGCCACGGATGATCCGCCATGGCCTCCTGGGTCCCCTGCTCAGCCATGGCCTCCTGAGTCCCCTGCTCTGCCATGGAGGCTCTCCTTGGCCGAGCCAGCTAAGGCCACGGATGATCCGCCATGGCCTCCTGGGTCCCCTGCTCAGCCATGGCCTCCTGAGTCCCCTGCTCTGCCATGGAGGCTCTCCTTGGCCGAGCCAGCTAAGGCCACGGATGATCCGCCATGGCCTCCTGGGTCCCCTGCTCTGCCATGGCCTCCCGAGTTCCCTGATCCGCCATGGCTCACTGATCTGCCCTGGAGGCTCTTTTGTGCCCGCCCCCTCTCCCTGATGGTACTGTTACCCGCGCCGTCCGGGAGGGGGGTGATCTGTCACATGTATGTTCCCGTTTAGTTCCTGTTATCCTTATTTGGTCCTTCCAGTTCCTTTTCCCATTATTAGTATCATCTGTTCCTTGTTATTAGTTATCCCCATCACCTGTCTGCCCCTCGTTATCTGCCCTATTTATTTCTAGCCCGTTCTGTTCTCCCTTGTCTGGAATTGTTTGTCAACTCCTTGTGCTACGTGTGATTCCCTGAAAAAAAGAATGAACTCCTTTTGTTTTGTACTCCTTGTCTCCCCGCTCCTCACAGTAGCAACCTGTGACAAGCGCCTGATTACTGGACTAAGTTATCTTTCACATCTGATTGTGCTAATACTCAAAACATACAAGGTTTACATATAAACACAGTTGGTTAAGTCTAAAGTGAAAGTAAACAGTTGAGAGTAAAACAGATGTGTGCCTGTATATTAGATGCGTGTGTAACAAGGTTTAAAAAAATTTATTTCACTAGATTTTCCTGTTTATTTGCATTCAATGCTGTTCTATAATTGTCTAAACCAGTGTTTGTAAAAATACATTAAAACGGGTCTGGAAAGAGGTGATGGTTTCACCCTCTGTTATTTTTGTTGACAGTGTTACTGGTGTGTGAGCTGAAGCTGTCGTGACGATCTGTCTATATAAAAATACATTCTCTATGCAGACCCAATTCGGCGCTCTCCTGTTGTTCTTCCCTAAGCTTCAACACAACGCAGACCACAGATTCATACGGTTACACGTGCAGGTCTTAAAGTGACAGCAGACTAATAGTACTAAATATGCTGACACTTATCATTAAAGGGATAGTTCACCCAAAAATGACAATTCTGTCATTATTTACTCACTCTCATGTTGTCTTAAACCCGTATTAGTGCTGGGCGGTATGTCCAAAAATTTATATCATGGTATTTTTCAAAATTATACCGGTTTCACGGTACATGACGGTATTTTTGTAGTTGCAGTGTTAACCATATTTTCTACTGCTTGAGAGGAAATACTGCAGTATATTGACTTAGAATGCCCTATTTTACTGTCATGATGATTGAATATTGTCAAAAAATACCACACTAAATAGTGACTAAACATGACCCCTTTTAGTACATGTTAACCAGGAGTCACTGTCATTTATAATCACGGCATCGTCTGATAAACTCAGCATGCATCTACACTAAAGAGCGGTTATGCGGTTATTTTGGCTTTATTACTTTTTTGTCTCATGCAGCGCACTGCCTGCGTCTGAGTAACAAACTAAAAAAAACAACAAACAAAAAAGTGCATGTGATATTAACAGACGAACTACGCTCATATTTATAATTCCAAACACTCAGTAAGTGACAGGTGCTAGGAAACGCTGTACTCATTTATTGAGGAGTCGGCTGCGGTGCTTCTCTGCCGCTCACTGCACAGAACACACGCCGAGAGAGGCGACACTTCTCCGGGAAAGCCAGACCTCGCGCTCGCGGGACAGCACTAGAGAAATCTTCCAACTGAACCATAGCTAAGATTTATCCAAAAAAGTCGCTGGGTTTGTCAGTATGAATGTTCTATGGAAAAAAGCCGCTAAAAGGGTCTGAAAGTTGCTAAATCTAGTGCTAAAGTCGTGCTCATGTGTGTGAGACGCGGGAGCTGATGGCAGGGGGTGCTGGATATTTGTGGCGGTCAGTGTGGATATTGTGGATGAGTTCTTCTGTGTCATCACGTTCTATTAGTTCTACAGCTTCAGTTTCTGAGCTTTCACGCTTAGTAACACATACAGCTGTTCCCTCACCACAGTGCAACAGTGAAAAGAGACCCCTTTCAAACAGTGTCGCGTTACGAACGTTGTTTAAGCGACATACACCGGTATTGTGGTATTAAAAAAATTCATATCATAACAAAAATAAACACCGGTATTCGGTATGAACCGGTATACTGCCCAGCACTAACCCGTATTATTTCTTTCTTGTGCTGAACACAAAAGAAGGTATTTTGAAGAATTTGGGTAACCTGACCGTTGCTGGTCCCCATAGACTTTAAAAGAATAAACAATACTAAGGAAGTCACTGGGGACCAGCACCTGTTTCATTATCCACATTCTTCAAAATATATTTTATGTTCAACAGAAGAAAGAAACTCATTCAGGTTTAAAACAACTTGAGGGTGAGTAAATGTCAGAATTTTAAGTTTTGCTGAATTTTCTGCAGTTTGGATTTAAATAAAGAGTTAACCCTAACCTTCACAGTCATTTTGTTCTCCTAGTATGACAGATATGCTATATCTTTGACTAGCAATATATTGATTATCGCAGAATCGCTGTGTTGTGATATTATCGTGAGCCATGTATCTTGTATCGTATCATACCGTATCGTGAGGTACCCTGTGATTCCCACCCCTAGTGTTGTGCATCATTCAGATGAACTGAGAACACCTTTAAATTTCAAAATAATTAATGAATTTGAATTGA